TTGCCAGACCTCCTTGTACTGTTGAACACCAAAAGATACCCATTCTTGAGAACCAGAAGTGGATTTCTGGCCACTTGGTTGTTGCTGTTGCTGTTGTTTTTCAATTCATCTCTGTTGCTCTCAACCCATCCCAGGGAGTCCTAGGCCATAAAAGTTGCTGCAGTTGCCCACCCTTGGCTTGGGGTAAAAAAAAAGAGCACAATTCAATAGGTTTTGCTCAGAGATGTCAAAGAATTCATAGGCGTTAAAGCTCATCTCTCATTTGAAATGGACTTTTATGGACTCCCCCCCTCCTTCATCTCTTATGCAATCTTGGCTAAAGCAAAATTCCCCAGCAATGTGTAACAACAAAATCACACTCAGTGCATGAATTCTCTTGCTGCCTAGAGGGAAAAAAAGATGTGGTCATGCCATCACTGAGCAACGCACCTCCAAACTCCCCTTTGCCGATGGTTTGCAGCAGCTTCAAGTCCTTCATGTTGAGGGACCATCCACCTGGAAAGACACGAGGCAAAAGGTGAAGCAGAACAAACAATGTTCTCTTGCGGGATGTGGGATAGGGCACGAAAAGGACGAACCCAGTTTTTGGAAGATACTCACTGCGTGAGAACTCATCCTGAGCAGCCACGGTGCCCTCCATAACCTTTGGCTTGATGAGGCGAGTACAGAGCCCATCAGCATCGGAAGTGTAATGCTGCAAAGGAAGATAAGAGACAAAGGGTTGGACCCAGGATTAAAGTTAGTCATGTTTTATGCTCACTGTAATCTATGAGACAGGGTAGTCCTCATTACACAGAAACCCAAAGATTTGAATGGGACAAGAGCTTAGCTAACTTGCAAGATGATCCTATGCATGCCTACTTGGAAGAGGGGAAAAGGGAAGAAATGGAAGTGGAAAGATAAAGGGGATAAAGAAAGAAAAGAAAGTTGATTATAGAGAGCAAGAGAGAGTTTTGTAAGTTGTAGAGTGTGAAATTGTAACGTTAGGATTAATAGAGTATGTTAGAGTATGTATTTTTAAAAAGATGTTCATTTATGGGTTACGAATGTTATGATTTTTT